TGGTTGCCACCATCAACGAGACCGTCCGAACTGGACAGTGGGTTGGAGATTGCTTCATCTACACCAACTCTACGAACCGCCTCAACTACCTCGTCGGTGACCAGACCTACACAATCTCTCACTTCGATCAACCGATGTACGTTCTTGGCTACCTGCCCCGGGATGGCCGTATTTACCTTTGCGACAAGGACGTCAACGCAGTCTCCTTCAGCCTTTCTCTCAGCATGGTTGAATATCAAACAGTGGTGCTGCGCGGCGATATGGAAATGGCGTCTGAGCTTCTCAAGGATGTTCCCCAAGACCAGATGAACAAGGTCGCCCGCTTCCTAGAAGGCCAAGGATATAAGGAAATGGCTCTGGAGGTCGCCACCGACCCCGAGCACCGCTTCGAGCTCGCCCTTGCGCTGAATGATCTTGAAACCGCACTCACGATTGCCCGCGAGGCCAATGTCGAGCACAAGTGGAAGATTGTCGGTGATGCTGCCCTCGCCGGCTGGAATCTTGCTCTGGCCCAAGAGTGCTTTACCAACGCCAAGGACGTCGGTTCTTTGCTATTGTTGCACACCGCTAGCAACAACCGTGAAGGTCTCAAGGACTTGGCCGCCCAGGCCTCGGAGTCAGGCCTCCACAATGTCGCCTTCTCCACTCTCTGGTCTCTGGGAGATATCGATGGCTGCATCGCTCTCCTCATCCAGACCAACCGCATCGCCGAGGCAGTTCTCCTCGCCCAAACTTACAAGCCTTCAAGCGCCCCTAAACTCGTTCTCCAATGGAAGGAATCCCTAGAGCAGTCTGGCAAGACCAAGGTTGCTCGCCTCATCGGTGTCCCGCCCGGTGCCCCCGACGTCTCTACCGATGACGACCTCTTCCCCGAGTGGGATGAGTACATTCGCCTAGAGAAGGAAGGGGATAATGTCCCCGAACCTGCTTCTTCGGAGTCCTTGATTGATGTCAACGGTGACGAAGAAGAGCCCGTGACCGCGACTAATGGCGTACGCGAGGTGGGTGACGAGGCAGAGAAGGCCGAAAAGGCTGCAGTGGACGAGGCCGATGCTGCCGAAGCCGAGTAAACGAACAAAAAGCACCGGGTTCTGATTGGTGACTTTCCAGGAGAGTTAGGTTGATCGTTTGTTTTCTGGCTGACCAGTCAGACCATTCTTGATTGCGAGCGGCGTCTTAACGTGTGTCCGACTTTTTTTTCATTTTCTTATTTGTAATTTCGCTGTCATGTGTCTCTGGAGCAAATTACATGCCTAGATACAAGCAATATGTTTCCCTCTATTTCCAGTGGTTTCGTTGATTTACTAGATTATTGTATATGTATACTATACCGGATTTCTCTGGCCCTATACTCTGAACGATAGTAAAGGTTTCTGTCTACCTAAGGGTTTAGTAGTAGATACCAGAACGAGCACATACGTCTAGAATAACAATACAAGACTGGCTATTGTCTGCGGGTACTCGAAAGCTAAGAATCAACCTTAGAAGAGCTTTCTACCCGCGGAGCGCTGAAATTGGGCCATTTGAATCCAATTTACTACTTTGCATCTAAAACCGGCCAGAGGCATATCCATATTACGTGCTTAGTCGAAGACATATAATGCAGAACTGTTTTGGCATTGTCCATCGTAACGTTTTCATCGAGAATACAGAACAAGGGTGCAGATGATGACCGCTTGAGAAAAGCAACGAGAAACCAAGGGTAAGAAAGGAACCTGCCTAGAGAGAATGAACACTTGAGATGGAAGGGAGATGACCGAACAAGACAAGAAAATCAAATCAAAGCGCTCAGCGGACGTATAAAACGAGAAGAACCAATGTCGTCTCGAAGATCAGGAGCTACTCCGATATCAAGATGCCACAGACTCCTTTGTGATGGGAAAACGAACAATGTGACGAAGAACAGAGTGAAAAAAATGATCAAGATTGGTGGATATGTTAATGAAAGACATATACGCAGTTAAAAAAGGAAATGGTCTCTATGAGCCTCCAATTGTCTCTTTCTTGCACCAGGAATGCTCGATCTAATTTGACGCGGCGAGCAGCACTACTCCGGGATGCTACCGAAGGACGGGTCTTTGACACTGCCACCTGCATCACCGAGGCCAGCCACGGGTCGGTTATACGACCATCCTTCGAACTGTTGTTGCATGGTTTGCGAGAGGACGGGGCCGTCGACATATGAGTCCTGGGGTGCTTCTCTAGTGAATTCAACATCGAAGTTCTCAGTATCACGGGCATCCACCTACATCAAGTCAGTCATGTGTTGGTCCAATGAATGATCGGGGAGTAAAGAATACATACCACGTTTGGTCGGAAACTGGGTTCGTACTTCCTCTGGAGAAGTTTGCGCCAGTCAATGTTGGCAAAGAAATGGTGAGACTTGATCTCCGCAGCACCATTAGCACCCAGTCGGCGCACAGGGTCACGGTCCAACAGTCGAGTGAGAAGATCTCGGGCAGCAGGCGGGACGATGTCGCTGCTGGGGAAGGTCAGAGGCTCTTGCAAGATCTTGCGATACATTTCGTTGGTGTTTTCATCGTAGAATGGAGGCAGGCCTGTCAACATCTCGTAGAGCAAGACACCGAGAGTCCACCAATCCACGGTCTTGGTGTAGCCGTTGCCAAGGAGAAGTTCTGGAGCGAGATATTCGGGAGTTCCACAGAACGCTGAGTTTGGTTAGTTATATAGGGCTTATAACGAGTGGCGAGGATATCTTACTATTGGTTCGGTCTTCGTCTTTCATGTCCAGCTTGCAGAGACCGAAATCGCAAAGAGCGATATGGCCAGTGTAATCGAGAAGAATGTTCTCAGGCTTGAGATCTCGGTAAATAACCTTGAAGCCGTGCAGACACTCAAGAGCGCACAGCAACTCTGCGGTGTAGAAACGGGCTCTGTTGATATCAAATCGTTGTTCCCTTTGCAAATGGTGGAACAACTCTCCGCCATTCACAAATGCCAACACGAAGTACAACTTCTCAGGGGACTGGAACGAGAACTTCAGCGGAACAATAAACGGGTTGTTGATCTGTGCGAGAACCGATCGCTCGGCAAGTGTATGTGTGACTTCCGATCGCGAGATAATGTGAGCCTTGCGAATTGTCTTGAGGGCGTAGATCCGACCAGTATCCTTCTTCCTGTGATTCCCCAACTGTCAGAATTTTAAAACCATATAACCAGCCCTTGAATGCACTTACATGACCTGCATGACCTTTCCGAAACTACCCTTGCCCACAACCTTGAGCAAATCAAAGTCTTCTAACTTAAGACTCCGCTGCTTGTTCTCCACAAAAGAGATACCAATCTTGATTGAGCCGACACCAAATTGGAGATCCAGCCACTCAGCACCCTGCTGACCCAGTTGACGCCCTTGCTCATCGTGAGCTGCGGCAGCCTTCTGGTTGTCTTTCTTGCTGAGTTTCGGATCCTCCACATAGGGTTGGCTCTCTTCGAAGCGAGGGTTGACCTTGCATGCGCCTAAAAAGATGTCCTCACTCCGTCCGGCACCAGGCCGGGCGGCAGGGTTGCGCAGGTACAGCTGTACACTCAACTCGGTCTTCCGGGACACATCGAACTTAAAGGCTGTGTTGTCTCCAGCCCACAATGGGCTCTCTGGAGTTCCCGACACGGCATCCACAAAGACTTGGTTCTTTTCGAAATCAAGGAGGGCATACGGAAGGTATTTGGTGGAATAGCGACCGTGGATAGTGGGGGCGGCATTTATTCCCCCGCTTGTGGACTGCGGTCGGCCGGACGGCACAAATGAGCCCGCTTGATTTTGAGATGAATGTGATGACGAAGAGGTACTTGGGCGTAGAGAAGAGGGCGCGTAAGAGTTATTTTGGAAATGGGAATTGAAGATCTGTTGGAAGTGAGGTGACAGCGAAAAATTGCGTCCTTCGTGAAGAGTGACAATAAGGATGCCGGGGTTCACAATGGCCACAGGAGGAGAGACAAGAGACTCGGAGGCCGCTATAAAAACAATAAAAATGATTAGTTACTGGAGGATTCCAGCATTATAAGAATAACATACCGATGCCATTTGTTGAGGGGGTGGAGGCAATGCTGGGCGGATTGGAGGCGACAGGTGTCAGGGCCTCATCACCGTTTGAGTCACCCTTGATCGTCGAAGTAGACGACGACCGGCCAAATGATGAGGTCAAGGGTGCCAGGTGCGTCTCCTTCAACTCTTCAGACGAGTTGTATGATTAGCGACTGCCCATGGCGTTTCACTGCAATGCAGAGAGGGGTATATTGAGGGGGGAGAGAGGGAGACCAACTGCCAGTAAACATACTTTTAGTGAGCTTCCAGGACATAGTGGCGGTTGTAACGAGATTGAGAAGAAGAGATCAAAGTCCAAAATACTGCAATGCGTGTGCAGGGTGCTTAAGAGTCACCCAATAATCAACATGCGAATGGCCTCCAAAATAAACCTGGAGAAGCCACACAAGGACACAGATAATACACACGCAAAAGGAGAGAATTCAAGACAAAGACAACCACCACTATCTTTCGAAATCCGTATGGAAGCACAACTAAAGGATAAGAAAAGAAGTCGGAGAGATCGAAGATCAAATGAGAATGAGAGAGGGGAAGTTGCCCCTGTAATTATAATACTTGGTTTACCATAGATTACATCAAATTACATGTTTGATTGGTCAACCTGGTCACATGCTGGTCACATAAAGGTACAGTAATTAATCAGCCTCAGCCACTGCTCCGCCACAAGGGTTAACGACGCATCAACTTTCACCACATTAACAATCAAGGCAGTTAAGTCCAACGAGAAAGGTTGAGATTCAGCTTTGGATTGTTGTATCATTTTACATTGAGATCCCTTTCCAAGCTTCGGAATATTCCCCGCTCCGAAGTGCGGAGACCCCCTACCCCGGAAGATCTCACAACTTGTCTGCAAGTCTAGTATTTTCAGATTTTCTGAGTCTGCTTATCTCTTGATACAGCTCCCGACAAGCCGGACGATGAAAGGGGTGGAGGGCTAATGGGTGTGATACGCAAGAAGACCGCCTCACGCGGCACCGAGGCCGGCACTAAGTTCCACTGCGATGTGTGCTCTATCGATGTTACATCAACAGTAAGTCTCGACGTGGTTGTGTCATGGCCATTTGAAATCAGAGACTGACGCGATTCCATCGCATAGGTTCGCATCTCGTGTTCGCATCCCGCCTGCCCAGAATATGACCTCTGTGTTCCTTGCTTCTCCGCCGGAAAGAGTTCCAAAAACCATGACCCCGCCACACATCCATTCCAAGTGATCGAACAGAATTCAGTCCCCATATTCCAAGGGGATTGGGGTGCCGACGAAGAATTGTTATTGCTGGAAGGCGCCGAAATCTATGGGTTGGGTTCCTGGGCAGACATCGCAGACCACATTGGCGGCTACCGCAGCAAGGATGAAGTGCGAGACCACTACTATAACACATATGTGAAGAGCGTCAACTTTCCGCTCGCAGCTCGCGCCGATCCAGACGATAGGAGCTTGCAGGATTCAATCTCCAAAGAGGAGTTTCAAACACGCAAGAAGCGGCGCATCGAAGAGCGCAAAGATGCAGCCAAGTCAGCACCTCCCACTACACCCAAGCAAAAGCCAACTGCCAGTGTACCGGCATGTCACGAAGTGCAGGGCTACATGCCAGGACGATTGGAGTTTGAGACCGAGTTCTTGAACGATGCCGAAGAAGCGGTGCAGCACATGACTTTCGAGCCCGGGGCTGGACTCAATGAAAATGGCGAGCCAGATGCAGAGACCGAACTCAAGATGACCGTGGTCGACATTTACAACTCCCGCCTGACAGCGCGTACCGAGCGCAAGAAAATCCTCTTCGAGCACAACCTCCTCGAATACCGAAAGAACACTGCCTTAGATAAGAAACGGTCCAAGGAAGAACGAGATTTGTTGAACAAAGCAAAGCCACTCGCACGGATGATGAACTGCAAGGACTTTGAAGACGTCAACAAGGGCCTGGAGTACGAGCACAATCTCCGCTTAGCCATCTCCCAGCTTCAAGAATGGCGGCAGATGGGCATCGGCGACCTAAAAGCAGGCGAGAAGTATGAGCAGGATAAGCAACAGCGCGTACAGCGGCTGCTTCCTCAGGGATCATTCGATCGTTTCGCCAGCACCCGCCCTAAGCAGACACAGCTCACAGAGACCCCAGCGGCAGCAATCCAGCTCACAACGCCTGAACTGCCGCTGCGACTGCAAAAAGCCGCCAATCCACACGCACCGGCAGATCCTGACGACGAACCATTGAACGATTTCGATCGCGCCTTCGCTGTCGATGGGGATGCGCCTCCCCCGCAGCCGACGAAGACGAAATACGTGGTGCCCCCGTTAAGCGGGATGCCACCGTGGAAGCTGGACAATGACACTGCTGCCGACTTGCACCTCCTGACCAAGGAAGAGGCAGAGTTATGCAATGTTCTACGTCTGATGCCGAAGCCTTATCTGGTCATCAAGGAGACACTCTTGAAAGAAGCAATGAAGCAGGGCGGCAACCTGAAGAAGAAAGATGCACGAATAATTTGCAAGGTATGTTTTATCGTTCGACTGCTGCATCATGAATCCTTTACTAACTCTGTTAGATCGAGGGCACTAAAACCAGCCGAATTTATGATTTCATGGTACACAGCGGTTGGATCAACAAGGCGTAGATGCGCCAAATCCCTTATATGCTGTAAACGGTTCCTAGCTTATTGATATCCAAATCTATTTGTGATTTTGTTCGGAGCGTTTTTTTTTTTTTTGGCGTTCATAGGGAACTTGGGAGATGGGTGGATGTGTTCTTGGAACTTGTCCACATAAGACACAGGTAGAATATCACCTGTAATTCACACAATTGTACAATGGAAGTAACCTACAGACCTATTATCCACCCAGCCTAAAGAACAAAGTCGATGAACATCACTTCCAAAGCCATTCCAAGATGCAGTAATCCCCACACTCGGCCCTCGGCATCTTCTCCGCATTCACCAACAATTTACCAACCCCAACAGCCGTCGATCACTTCTAGTTTTCTATATCATTTGTATATAATCTCCTTTTTCCCTTCTCACTCCTTAATCAACCCCAATCTACGAGCAAAACTCCCACCCAAAATGCCCTTCACAATCCAACCCCCAACCCCAGCCCACGCAATCCTCACCTACCCAACCCCCCACGTCCTCCTCGTCACGTTAGACCGACCCCGCAATCTGAACTGCATAAACGCCCAAGGCCACGCAGACCTCCACGCAGTCTGGGAATGGCTCGACGAAGAGCCAAGCATGCGCGTGGGCATTCTAATTGGAAAGGGACGGGCGTTCTGCGCCGGCGCTGATCTAAAAGGTGAGTCAAATGGCCAGAATATAGCAAATATCCCGGCATAGCCAGTCTACAAAAACGCACACACTACCCTGATCCCCAGTCCCCCAAAAATAACACTCCAATTCATCCGTTAAACCCACTAACACCACCAGAATGGAACGACCGTACTTCAACGGCAACAACAACCTCTAACTCCACAACCCCACTACCGAACAGCGGGTTCGGCGGACTAGCGCGACGCAAGGGCAAGAAACCCGTGATCTGCGCCGTGAACGGACTCTGTCTCGGCGGGGGCGCGGAGATGATCATCAATAGCGATATCGTGATTGCGTCTTCGCGGGCGGTATTCGGGTTGCCGGAGGTGAAGCGTGGGGTTGTTGCGCTTGCCGGGGCGTTACCGCGACTGGTTCGAACAGTCGGGAAACAGCGGGCTATGGAGATGGTTCTTACGGGACGGATGGTTAGTGCTGTGGAGGCGGAAAAGTGGGGACTTGTTAATTCTGTTGTTGAGGTTGGGGAGGATGAGGAGGAGATTGGTCGGGCTGTTTTGGAGAAGGCTTTGGGGGTTGCTAAGGAGATTTCCGGGAATAGTCCTGATTCGGTGCTTGTTAGTCGTGAGGGGGTTAAGTTGGGGTGGGAAGGGATTGGGGCGGATGAGGCGACGGTGATGTTGAATGATACTTGGGTTAAGAGGTTGTATGAAGGGGAGAATATTAAGGAGGGACTTAAGGCTTTTGTGGAGAAGAGGAAGCCTGTTTGGGTTGATAGTAAGTTGTAGAAATTGATTCAATTCGATTCGCTATTCATACTACAGTTCGTAAAGTCATAAAAGCAATCCCATTTCTCCGTCGCGCCGTGTACCTGGTATTCGCCATAATCCATGCAAATTGAATTTCAGTCAAAGAGAAATCAAATGCGCGGTTGCCCTGCCTCTCTGAAAAGTGGTGTTAGGATGTTGTGTGTGTTGTTGGCATAGGGAAGAGATGCCTACTTGGTGTCAGATTGTACGCCGTCGACGACCTTGACCACATGGGGGAAGAGAGGGTGGTCTCGGTCCAAGCCGGTTAATCGGACAGCAGCATCGGCAGGCGAGTTCTCCTTGAGGATCTGGGCCATCTCCACGCTCTCCTCGTCGCCTTCCACATTCTGGAACCGCAGAGCCATTTCAAAGGAACCCATCAGTGACGCGAACTTTCCACCACGCTCGGCCAGCTGGGAAGCCGGGCCGATGAATCGCTCCTTGCGGGACACCTTGCGCATTGGGGCACGACCCACGCGCTCCACGCTATCCTCCAGGTAGGGGTTTGAGATTCGGGTGATGATGGTCTCGACGTACTCCTGCTGCTCAGCAGCGCTGATTTCATGTTTGTCGACAATGAGGGAGGCAGTCTCTTGAAGCACATCACGGACAATGCCACGGATGCGAGTGTCCTTGAGAGCTTCGGCAATGGTCTTCTTGCCGGCATTGTAGCCATAGTAGGCTGCAGTAGCGTGACCGGTGTTGACGGTGAACAACTTGCGCTCAATATAGGGCTCCAGGTGACCCACCCAGTGGATAGCTGGGACGTCTGGGTGACCAAACTCGCCGAAAGGCGTTGACTCCACTACCCATTCGTAGAACTTCTCGATGCGCACGTTGAGACCGCTGTCGGGGGCCTGGCCAGGTACAATACGGTCGATGGCCGAGTTGGCAAACCGAGCTCGGTCTGGCATAGAGTCGAGACGGTCTTGGGCGGTGTTGTCCTTGATGAATTGGTGTAGAGTGTCAGTGGCGCCGATGGCGTTCTCACAGGCAATGACGGCGAGCGGCGTGGCGTCGGTGCGGGCGTCGATGCCCTTGGCAATGACGGGAGCGATGAACTTGAGGATGTTGGGGCCCACGGCACAGGTTACAATGTTTGCGGTTGAGATCTCCTTGATGACATCGCTCTCATGAGTCTTGGAGTTGATTGCACGGTAGTTGGTGATGGTCTTGGTAGACTCGCCCTCATCACTGACTTCAGTGACCTGATAGGACTTGGTTTCTTGGAGGGAGTTGATGATACTGTCCATGACATCGACGAAGACGACCTCATAACCAGCAGTGTGAAGGAACTCGGCAACGAAGCCACGGCCGATGTTACCACCACCGAAATGAATAGCTTTCTTCTCCATTATGAAGGGTATGATAAGTGAGAAGTGGAAGGGGTAGAGTGGGAGTAGTGGTAGAGGTAGATATAGTAGAGAAGTGGAAAGATAAACTTAATCGCGTTCGCGCTTTCCAGTCCAATGGAGGGGGAAAGTGCAGCTATTTAAGCCAAAGGGGAAAGTAGAAAGAGGTATATACCTGGGACCTGGAATATTCCCGTGCTTCCGATGACTTCATAGATAATTAGGCTACGGGACTGGCCTCCGCCTTGTTTAGAACATGAGAGCATCATTTTTATTATTATTTCGTATTATTGCTATTATTCTAATTAAATATAATAATTCTGCTATTATTCTACTTTCTTAACTCTCTTGACTCTCTTTACTCTCCAACATTCCTAACAGTTACATCTTTTACCCCCCCGCTTTGTCTGTGCGACCCTCATACTTACCGTGCAGTACTCCGTATATTAGATATACACTATACCTATTTGAGGAACATATAGATTCCAATTACATGCATATTCACAGGGCCTGAACCACTCACCGGAAAACAAAGAGAAATCACCGGGAAAACCCGTCCATATTCGTCAACCCTTCGCGCTTTGACAAGAACCTTGGCAAATGGAGTCGGAGAATCGTAGCCGATAAACCGGGAAACGGAGTACAGTGGTCCTCGGAGTCTGAGCCTCATACGGAAACATATTAACTTGGTTTGAGGGTATAATGTGTGAATACTTCATTTCTAGACTCTTCACGATCCTCATAGAACTGATATCCACATGCGGTGACGTCGGATGAACGGTTGACAGCCCCGACCCAGTTTTTTCCCCCATTAGTCGCGGCCACCAACTCCATCAACTACCCCCATCAAAGCCGAGGTTTATTCGAAATGTATCCATTGCCTTCTATGATCTAGCCCCTAAATTGCTGCCTTGCACTGCCCGACATACCTTAGCCCCTGGAAGTTAGGGGGGTAAAACCTAACCCTCGTGGTATCTCCAAGCCCATTGGCCCAACATATCTTACACGCTCAGATATCCCGCAAAAGTAAGTGGCCGGATTGGCAATGTAATTTTATTTGAAACAATCTCTAGTTAGATTGGCTACTATTCTCTATTGGTTGCGCGAAATAAATCTTATGGTGGTATCGTTTGATTCATAAATGGCTCTCTCTATCTACTGTATGGGATATTAGATTCGATGCGAGTTTCCCCGACGTCCGCCCCCCGTCTGAACCCTGCGGTCTCCGACTGGCTAACACCACCGCTTCCCTTTATTTTTTTTCACTCTCTTTAGGGTTAATTACCCCTCTATATCCTTTTCGACGGGCGCAGGAGCAGACGCAGCCCGTTTGGGAACAAAGACATTCGCAAAGCAAGCAACGGTACCGACGAGTAACAGCCCCACTGCGGCCCAAGTCATCCCGAGAAATTTCTCTCCGTAATGGGCTGACACGTTCCAGCCCTTGCCGTGAGCGTTGATCAGAGCAACAAATTCAAAAGCGATCACTGTGGCGATTATGGATGCGATACTGATACTGAGAGATCCGAGCTAAATACCGTGTCAGCAAAACTGTATGGGGAAAATATTCAAAATGCACCACGCTCAACTAGGAAGTATACTGCACATGCAAAGACAGAGTTTATGTAGGGGGTCATCATCACCTGGGCAGAACGTGCTGTTTTATGTAACTCACCATGAAAAACCAAAATTCACACGGGCCCTGCCCTGGTCGCGGAGAAAGAGTCGTCCATACGCGTACAAGTATCGCCGCCCCCATCGCGCCAACTCCAATACAGTACAGCACGGCCATGACCTTGCTTGTCAGTCTGAGGGCATGAAAGTCGTCGCTGATCACGCGCGGCCAACCTAGTTCCTGGCTGGCGATCTCGTTCGGCCAGGCTTGTGTCGGGTCAAATGAGGATAGAAGCGTGCGGTTTGAGCATGCGGTCACATTGCGCGTGACTCCTGCACTGGGGTTGGTTGTTCCTAATGTTCCCTGGCAATAGGACATGATGTGGATGGAATAGAAATCGTGAACTCCACTGCCGGTGCTATCTGCGGGTGTGTAGAGCTAAATGGACAGGATCAAGTCAGTATTCTGCATCACTTATGAAAAGTGGTTGGAGACTATTCAACTTACCGTCAAGAGATCCACGTCACCGAGGAAGTTTTTCTGCGTCCCTGCAAAGAGACAGAGGATGCTTATTATAAATGCGACGAATATGGCCAACGTCGGGACTAAGCCCTTGGAGTCCAACATGATGAATCGGGTATATGCGTTGGTCTGCTTATAGTCTTCTGGATGTAGTTGGATCCAGTATGCAGATGATGTGAAAGCTCAATATTCAATAAGGCCCGAATCTGAGATTCTCGCCCTCTTCGCGATCCTTATATACATACCATACTGGAAATCTGGATTATCGGGACGACGGCATCTAGATTTCTCACGATGGCTTCATTCCAGACGTGGGCTGTGAGAAAGGGCGGGAGCGCATGTTCTGCATAGTATCGAGATTGGATATCGCATGGAATGTATGCATTACACATGATCGGGTAGAAGACCTTTTGCTATTGGAAATGTGAGTATATACGGGGTAGCCCAGGTATGATGGCTGGGAAGGGAATGGGTGTAGTCCCGCCCGCATCAAGAATGTTCAGAATGTTGCCAGCCACGAAGGATCTTGCTCGATATCGAAAATGTGTCTTTATTTGTGGGATATGGAATTGGTACATTAGTTTAGATACGAATTTTATCTGAGGGCTGGTTTGAAAAGGTTTCGATCGCAGATGAAGGGGTCTGCCAGGGTTATATAGTAGGTCCAAAGGAATTTGACGTCAGCGGCAGGGGTATTGCCCTGATCACTTCCCAGATTTACACCTTTTTGCAAATGTTCATCTGTCAATCCCGAACTTGGCTCTCTTCAGAAATTTCGTGTCTTGACATAAGAAACGTCAAATTCCCAACTAGTTTAGATTCTTCGGCCCAACAGATTCAAATTACCGATCTAATGAAAGATTCGCCAAGCCCTTGTTTTTTTCCCTCTGCGAACAACAGTTCGTCATTATGGCAACAGAAGAAACAAGGAAAGACTCATCTATCGCTATCCAACCTGTTTACGTTCTTGTACAGCGCGAGATAGCGGCACATCGAACAATGAAGTTTGATTGGTTGAGCAGAGTCTAGATTGGCCGGGGGTTTCACCTGGCAGAAACTCGGGAGGTGCCCAGATGGCAAGCCTGGGCCCCGGGGCCACCTACGGGGCAGTGTTAGATCCAGGTGGCAAATTGTATAATTATGTATCTTTTGTATGGAGTTGCTATACAAAAGATACTTGAGCTTAACCTCAACACTAGGCAGTATTAGTAGGTTTGCCACAATTACAATATCTCTCCCATATAGATAAAATAGATCAGATTATATAGAGGTACGAACCTCGGAAGAGAGCCAAAAGTGTCCATCCATGGATACTGGGAGAGGCGGAGAGACATCGGCCCGGGATATCGGGACCTCGGGAAGACAATGACATTAGTCAGTATGTCTAACCAATCAAATGCAGTTGTTCAATGTGCTGCTATATCGCGCCGTAGGTGTTCCTGGACAATGTAGATGTGAGAGCAAGGTCGAGGACGATTGATCTCATCTCT